TAAGACTACTTAATAAGAGTTATTAAAAAATTTTAATTATCATTTATATATTATAAAAAACATTATTTAAAATTATATAAAAAAATATTTTAAAACTTCATATTTTGAAATAAAAGGAGTATGTCATATATTGGTCTTTGAAAAACGTATGTCATATATTGGTCTTTGAAAAACTATTTTTCACGAACCAAAAAAAATTACTTCAGACATATTGTGTAACTCACCCCTTTGAGTTTATTTTAATGAATAGATTTCTCGATGGCCAAAGAAATTAAGGTTGGTCCAAGATTTGACAGTTATTTCCCAAGATCCCCATCTCCACGTTGCATAATAGCAGCACAAGACCTTTGAAACTTGTATTTTGGGGCAAAGATTTGATTTTCTAGTCTTCACGTTGCACAACAGTAGCACAAGAACCGTAAAAGCTATAGTATTATGGTGGGGCAAAAGATTTGTGACAGGAAGAAATAAAATTAACCAATCCTACTGCGTGCGTGATTCGCAATCTAGAATGCTTGGCACTAATTAATTAAGTTGACTTAAGACCAAAAAGATTTCCAAGTCTTCGAAAAACAACTTGAGCCATCAAGACTTCCAAAAGCAAAAAGAGGATAGTCGTTTACTCGGGACCTTTTCTTTAGAGTAACTTAGGGGATACTTATTTTACTTATTTAATACTCATCCGTGACTCTATATCTATAAATTTTTAAATTAAGTAATAAATATAAATTATATTCAATTTATGTATAAAAATACTTACAGTTAATAGAAATAGGTAGTATTAATTTGCCACTACTCATATTTTCTTTTTATTTTAACTGGAATTTTTATAATTCATCAAATCACATAAATGCCCCCAAAAAAAAAGTTATTGTTAAGTTCTAAGGATGTGGTTAGGGCATTGAAGTTTGTCGTAAGTAGTTTGTAGTTTGAAATTTAAACTAATCCAAAGAATAAATATATTTACATTATAAAAAAAAAACAGATTATAGAAAATTAAGATATTTTAACAATTTAAATATTAAAAATAATAATTAAAAAACTTAAATGCTTTTAATAAATTAATATACTAAAAAAATTTATTAAAAGTATTTAAATAAT